GTGCTTAACTCATAATTCATCGATAAATATAACTTAAGAGGGGCTTTAACTTTTCAATGTACAGTTGACCCTTGAACAACATGGGCTTGAACTGAGTGGGTCTATTTACAGGCAGATTTTTTTTTCAGTAAACACAGTAGACTGCTATAAATGTACTTTCTCTTCCTTATGATTTTCTTAATAACATTTTCTCTTGCTTACTTTATTGTAAGAATACAGTATATAATACATGTAACATACAAAATATGTGTTAACTGACTGTTTATGTTATCTGTCAGGCTTCTGGTCAACAATAGGCTATTAGTAAGTTCTGTTTTGGGAGACTCAAAAGTTAAATACAGATTTTCAACCACAGAGGGTTGGCACCACTGCTGTCCAAGGATCGACTGTAGTCGCAAACATGTGGGCTTTGGAGTCAAAGTTCTCAGATTCAAACCATTTTCCTCCATGGGTGCATAACCAGGGACTTTCTCCCTGGGCTTCCAGTTTTCTCCTCCGGAAAAAAAAGGGTGATGATGGTATCTACCTCAACAGGGTCACTGTAGGGATTGATGCGTTTATATTTGTGAAACACATAGCACTGTGCCTGCCACATAGTTAGCACTCAACAAATCTAAGCTATTATTTTTCCATCATCATTTAGCTAGCTATCCTAGATTCTGCCCCAAATTAGTTTCTCAGGGAATTTAGAAAACATGAAAGTTGATGGTATAGTAGGTTGAACTGTGGCCCCCAGAAGATTGTCCACTTGGGACCTGAGAATATGACCTCATTTGAGATAAGGGTCTTTTGCAGGTATAATTAAGACAAGGGTCTTGAGATGAGATCATTCTGGATTAGGATGGGTTTTTATAAACCAATAACAAGTGTCTTTCTGGGACATGACAGAAAAGAAGACAAGGAGAGACACAGAAGAAAGCCACATGAAAATGGAGACAGAGATTAGGATTATGCTGCCACAAACCAAGGAATATCAGAAGTAACCAGAACTTGGAAAGGGCAAGGAAGGATTCTCCTCTAGAGCCTTGAGAAGGAGCATGGCTCTGCCAACATTTTGATTTTGGATCTCTGGTCTCTAGAACTGTAAGAGAATACATTTATGTTGTTTTAAGCCACCAAATTTGTGGTAATTTGCTGTGGCAGCCTTAGGAAAATAATGTACAGTTTGGGTACAGTTTGGAACAACCTAAATTTGGTGATGAAAACAAGCCTAAACATGAACTGGTAATTATCATGAGTTCTCCTTTCTTCAGCATACTCCAGGGAACCTTCTCTTTAGGAAGGGAAAATCACCGGCTTCAGGGACTGGAATGTTCGGGCCATTCTGTCCCATCCACTCCCAGCCAAAGACATTTCGGCTAGGAATCTTGAAAACATTCTGCCTTTTCCACAAGGAATGAAGTGGAAGTACTCGATAAGTGGTAGGACAGTGGACAGAGTCAGCCTCTATCTGGCCCCAAAGAAATGGGCAGGCAACACAGCTCTTAGTCCTTGTCCAATAAACACACTCACACTGGTCCCCACTGCCTTTCTGACTCCTGTCTAAGGAGGTCAAAGAGGTCATTAGCCAAAGATTCCAAGCTAAGGAAAGATACCTGGTTGCCAAGAGAGCAACATAATTGTATTTTTTCTCCTAACTCTATGGGTTGTTGCAATTACATATTATGAAACAGATCTCCTTTTAAATGAAAAAAAATATCCAGGTCATCTGCGAGATCCTTCTAAGCCTTTGAAATTTTAAAGGAGTCCTCAGGAGAAAGTCATCAGAGAGATGTCAAATCCACTGATGCCCAGAGAAGTGGTTTTCATTCTTTGCCTCTCTTCTAACTGCTAGAGAAAAATAGCAGCAGACAGAGCAGCGACCGTCAGGGAGGGGTGACTTTTTTTGGAGCAAAGGCCTTAGACAAGATGACACATGCTGACAGGTTCAGCAAATAGTGGATGCTGTCACAATCAGCAGATAACTTCTGTGTGTTTGTGATGTAGGAAAGACTGCGAGTCACGCAGTATTTCAAAGACAGGTCACGATTACTCCATGTGCCATCTTCTAACGTGAAGGTCAAAAGAAAGGGGAAGGTAGTCCAAAAGAGATGGAGGAAGAGCAAGGAGACCTGTGTGCGAGCAAATCAACCACATCCAGGCAGGTCTCACTTCATATTTCCTGACCATGTCCAGAGAACCTATGTAATTATCTGCTTTGTTGACATCTGAGGCTCTCACCTGACATGTAACCAGCACTTCATTAATTCCTAAGTCCTTTGTAACTTGTGAAAGTCACGTCTTCCCTGACTCAGTAAAGGGTTTCTTTTCTTCCCTTATTTTGGGAGTTTACTCAATTTATTTCCAGTAAAGAAGGCTCTAAAGGGAAGAAGCAAGTGAGGAAAGGCAAAGGAGGAAGCCACATATGGTGTTCTGGACCCCAGAATATTCTGAAATGGACCTCATTGCTTAACTGAAGGGAATTCCAGAACACCTAAAACACTCATAACCAAAGCGGGGGAGGGAATCAGAAGCCAAATGTCTTCAAAGGATTTTTGTCATTACTTGTCATTTTCTTTTCTTCATCAGGGAAGAAAATGCTGAGAGGATGAGAGAGAGAGAAAGAACCCCATGAAACACAGAGGTAAATAATCTGAGTGCCTATTTAAAATATGTAAATGCTTAATTTTTCCACTCTCCATCAAAGAGCTTTTCTGAGGAAATGTACATTTTTAGCACTCAAAATTAAAATAGTACACACACATATGTGCTTGGTCAATCCACAATACTTCATAAGAGAACTGCATGATTCTAATTGACAGGGTAATTTTTAAGTAAATTACTTGATGAGTATAAAATGCTATGCAGTATATGCAATTATGCTACATTTTAATTTTTAAACCTCTATCCTTCCTGCCCAGGAATGTCAAGTTGGCTGTTAGGATTGGGACAACAGCAAGTGTTCAGCACATAGAATCACACCAAGGATCTGCTGACTGATTATTGTTGACATTACCTAGTCCAATCTGATTCATCACTTGGGCAGGAACCAAGAGATGGTAAAAGGGCAGGAGGTTACATTAGGAGGAGAAAAAGTTTCAACCTATGTTAGGATAAGAATCCTTGTTGCCCCTAAGATCTTTTTCTAGCAATTGTCCTGTTCCTGGGGTTCACCCTGTCTGGAAGCAGGCAGTGTGGGGCTTGGTTATTTGTGTTTCAGACCTGGAAGCTTCTCCCAAGATGGAAGAAGTGAGGTGCAGAGATTACTAGAGACCAGAGACTTGGCTGGGCACAGAAGCAAGCTCAGAGGAGTCACTGAAGACGAAGTCTATTTAAACACGCACGCAGGCACACACACACACACACACACACCCCTTCTAAGCTGCCTCACATTTACACCCTATGAAATTTTTGAACGGGTGGTCTGTACACAAACATATACTTAAAAAACAGAAAGAAAAAAATATGCCCAAATAGATGATTTCTTATCAAAAGTACATATATCTTGCTAATCAGAAGCCACACCTTAATTCTGATCTTTGGGAAATTATGTGGTCCCAGTAAACAAATGATGAAAAGTAAATGATTTGTGGGCACCTGGGTGGCTCAGTAGGTTAAGCGACTGCCTTCGGCTCAGGTCATGATCCTGGAGTCCTGGGATCGAGTCCCGCGACGGGCTCCCTGCTCGGCGGGGAGTCTGCTTCTCCCTCTGACCCTCCCCCCTCTCAAGTGTTCTCTCTCATTCTCTCTCTCAAATAAATAAATAAAATCTTTAAAAAAAAAAAAGTAAATGATTTGTAAAAAATCAAAGCATACACACAAATCATCCCAGACACCATTTCTCGTTTTCTGACATATTACTGAATACAATACTGTTTTTGGTCCTGCATTCTTACATCGTTTTGAATGATCACCAGACTATTAATTTTAAAAGTCAGTCACTTTGTCTGTTCTTCTAATTGCCTGGACATGTTTTTATACTTTGGAAAAAGCAAAAAGACCAACCCTGACTTGGGCGGGAATCATTTTTGGAATAATGGTGGGTGGTTGTTCACATCTGGATTAGGTATAAACCGATAACATTATGATGATGAACAACACAGAGCCTCATCTGCATATGAATAGGCCTAATCAGAAATGCAAATTGCAATCAGGAGAAATTTTAAGGCTGTGTGATTGTGCAGATAAGGAAAGGCTAACACTTGCACTGTTAAAGGAGTTCAACGGCTGCAGCTCCACTCCGGCTTGGAGCTGCCCAGAGTCTTCCTCTGAATGAGTAACGGGGAGGGTATGAACCTCTTAATTTGCAGCCTGGCCAGGACCGAGCTCCCTGATTGCTTCGTTTTCGGTAACTAGAGGCTTAAGCAGCCAAACAGCAGCCCGACTCTGATGAGAGACAAACAACCAAACCTCTTGTACAAACCCCTAATGAAGACATACAATAGAAAATATACTGGCATTTAAATGCCCTCCAAACAGACCTCTTTCAGCACAATGTCCCATTGAGATGGAAATCGGGGGACGGAGAGAAGGTCTTATGACTGATGCACTTTTCTGATATTTTTTTAGTGCTGCTCTGAGGGGATATGAAAATATAATACAGTTTTTCATCCCCAAATTTTCCTGAATACTCGAGAAAGATTCAAACAAACAAAATGACCAGATGTGATTATATAATTAAAAAGAAAACACCAGTATTTAGACAGATTACTTAATCCAAAACTGCATTTTTAGTCCTCTTGTGCAAAGCACAATAAACAAGTATCTCAGAAAAATCAGAGTACTGAAAATATATGCAATGGTTACAACACGGTCCTATTTTTCCTCGGGATACGCTGTCTTTCAGGAACATCCATCCTCTTTCCTCCTCGACTTCCCCTATTTTCCCCCAAAAGAAATACATTTTACAACCAGGCTTTCTCAGGTTTGGCCAGAAATTGTTTACGAACGATTTATTATCCCTCTTAACCAACCTCTTTCACAAAGAACTAATGAGCCAAGAGCGCCATCTTGTGTCCTACCTTGGAATCTTAAAAAGCGTTTTCACAGGATGCATGTCAAAGAGCGGAGGGTCTCCATCCCCCAGTTCAATAGCTGTGATCCCCAAGGACCAGACGTCACACCGAGCGTCATAGGAAGAGTCATACTGCTGCTCACAAGCAATGACCTATCAGACAAAAGCAAAACACATCAACCCCACTGCCACCTCAGATGTCCTAAAAGACCCTTGGACCATCTTAGCCCCCGCTTAGTTCCCTTGGTTACAATGATATTGAATTCCAGTGATAGTAAGGTATGTGTTATCTAGACCTTATTTGTGTGTGACTGATTTATCATCTGGGTGTTCATTAACTTTTTAAAATGTGTCCTTTCAGTACAATAAACATACATTGAACCCTCTAGGTACCAAGCACAGTGCAAGGGGAGACACAAGGGTGCATACCTCACTGAGCTCGCTCTGACATCCCTTAAGGAAAGGCTTTGTCTGCATCCTTCACCTCATTACCAGCTGCTGAATTCAACAGCAAGGAACAGCTGCTTGCAAAGATGTTTGTTTCCTGCACAAAATCCCCAGGAGTGTGGCCAATTGAGCAGAAAGATGTTTGAAGACTGGAAGACTGATGTGGTTAACATAAAATAGGAACCATTCCCTTCCATCCCTTTTTTCTAAGAACATCTGCCCCCTCCACCAACCCCAACAACTGGTTTGTATTTCAGTAGCAGCTGCTTCTTCTGCTATTGGCTTGACTGGGTACAAGGGCAACAGAACCAGAACATGCCCCTGGGTTTTTCCCTGGTTTGGGGAACATGGAACCCTGTGGGGAAATCTCTTTCCATCAACTTTTTGAGTCAGGAAAAGCCCCTCCACTCTGACTTGTGGCTATCACAGTGGGGCTGGAAGAAGGTTGGGGTAGACCAGAGAATGCGGAAGAACCAGGTGTCCCTATTTGACCTGAAATCGGCCTCCTCAACCAAGGATGACCCTTGGCTACAGGCAGGTAGGAAACTCTGTACTGCTCCAAACAGCCTATGAGGTAGACAAGCGACATCCCCGAAGAGCACTGGGGGGCCAGAGTGAGAGGCCTGCCTGCCCTGATACGCCACCAGAAGCTATTTGGCTTTGATTCTGAGTAAGACGGGTCAACTGGCCATGAAGAGCAGAGTGACAGATTTGGCTTACCTGTTAGCAGGATCACTCTGGCTGGTGTGCTAAGGATACATTAAAATGGGACATGAGTAGAAGAAGCAAAACCAGTTTAAAATGCTACTACAAGAATACAAACTGCAGACAGTGAGAAATAATCAGACTGATTATGTAATTTTGAAGGCAGAGCCAACTAGATTTGCTGACTGGAGCTTATGAGAAAGAGGAGTTGAAGACGAGTCCACAGTTTTTGACTGAGCAATTCCAGAATGGAACTGGTATTTGATGAGATGGGGAAAACAGGAGGAGAAACAGCTTCGGGTTGAAAGGCAGGAGCTCCATTTAGGTAGGACATGTTAAGTCTGAGATGCCAGTGAGAATTCCAGATGGAGTTCATTTTAGCCAGGTGAGTCTTGTACCTGACTAATGACCTGGAGAATAAACGTGTGTTGTTTTAAGCCTCACATGTGCAATACTATAGTTTGCAGTGACAGAAAACTATTATATCTCCTCTTGGCCAGACCCACTTAATTGGACTTGCAATGACAAATATGCCTACCATCTTGCCTGAGACCTGGTGCTTTTGCTCCTATAATTGCCCTCTTACCCTTATCTTCTGGTTTCTGAACTGAAGTATGCCTTTTCATATTCCTACATCCCTGGCCTGATACCAGCCCTATTCTCTGAATAGACTAACCTGCCATAGAATATCCTGCCATTTTAACACGTGATTTTCAAACGTGCATTCAAACTAAAGTTCAAATAATTCCAACTTCAGAAGCAGAAGCCATTGCATAGCCCCCAAAGACCTCCCTTTCATACCCCAAGCAGGTGAGGAACACTGCTATTTTTAAAGATCTCCAAAGAAGGCTATTCAACAGCTTCCCTTTCAGAAATGACATTTCTAAACATGTGGAACAAACATAACTTTAGACCTGTCAATCAGCAAATAGTTCACCATTCTTACACGTTCCTATGAGGGAAAGAAAAATAAGACTCTGTCCTTCTCCAACAAAAGCTACGGCCAATTAAAATTTGAAGTGAGCCTATAGTAAGTAAATGACAAACCACGTCCACTCTAAATGTCCTAAGACAATATGTACTAGCATATCCAATAAAGGATATGGGCTCCAAATGCTTGGGATATTAGAGGGAGACCATGCCAGGGGAAGCAAGACAACAGAAAGTCTCTAGTGCCCAAAGTCCACACCTTCTGGGAAGAAATTCAAATCAACTTCTAGCCATTTTGGATGGGACACAGAAGGCAATTCCAAGAACCCATCCAAATGTGGGAATGGAGATATCCTAATGTTTCGCAGGTGCAGGCATAAAATATTCAAAACATTTATCTGGTTTCAACTTCTCTTTACAGACCTTATCTTCAGTTCTGTCTGACTAATAGAAAAGTTTCTCTTGGCCAAATTCTCCTCCCAAAACTTAGTCTGTAATTCGACAAAGAACTTAAGATCAGCTTTCCAAAGAAGTTTACAGAAAATTTTGCTACTAAAATAATTCACAAATAATTACTGAGTACCCATGAGTCAGGCATGGTACCAGGTCCTAGGGAGAGAAAGCTAAATTCACTCTGAATTTTCTCTTCATAATCTTTTTTTTTTTTTTTTTTTTTTTAGATTTTATTTATTTATTTATTAGAGAGCGAGCGAGAGAGAAACAGCATGAGAGGGGGGAAGGTCAGAGGGAGAAACAGGCTCCCCACCGAGCCGGGAGCCCGATGTGGGGCTCGATCCCAGGACTCTGGGATCATGACCTGAGCCGAAGGCAGTCGCTCAACCAACTGAGCCACCCAGGCGCCCCTCTCTTCATAATCTTCTATGAGGTAGGTGCTCTCATCACTTTGCATAGGTGTGGAAACTAAAGCATAGGGCAGTTAAATAGCTTCCCCATGGCCCATAGCTAGTCATTGTAAGGGTCAGAATTTGAAACCAGGCAGAGACAAGTAAACAAATCATTATAATATGGCAAGTGTTCTACACAATAAAGGTTATGTTCAAAGAATGGCTGAATTATCAGCTTCTGCCCTCATATTTTGAATAAATTTAACCACGTTTCTTGAGATTTTTGTCACTTAAATTCCCATCCCCTCAGAAGGAGTCTCTTTCAGGACCGATCTTTCACAGAAGTAAAAGACCCTTTATGTGGGCTACATGTGTGATGGGATTCATAGACGCACCCTAAGAGGATGCATCACAACTGAGGTCAACACATCCTGGATTCCTTATCTATCCAACACCAAAATCTACAACTATTTCTTTTTTTTTTATTAACATATAATGTATTATTTGTTTCAGGGGTACAGTTCTGTGATTCAACAGTCTTGCACACTTCACAGTGCTCACCATAGCACATACCCTCCCCAATGTCTATCACTCAGCCACCCCATCCCTCCTACCCCCCACCACTCCAGCAACCCTCAGTTTGTTTCCTGAGATAAAGAGTCTCTTATGGTTTGTCTCCCTCTCTGGTTTCGTCTTGTTTCATTTTTCCCTCCCTTCCCCTATGATACTCTGTCTTGTTTCTCAAATTCCTCATATCAGTGAGATCATATAATACTTGTCTTTCTCTGATTGACTTATTTCACTTAGCATAATACCCTCTAGTTCCATCCACGTTGTTGCAAATGGTAAGGTTTCAATTTTTTGATGGCTGCATAATATTCCATTGAATACATATATCACATCTTCTTTATCCACTCATCTGTTGATGGACATCATGGCTCTTTCCATAGTTTGGCTATTGTGAACATTGCTGCTATAAACATTGGGGTGCAGGTGCCCCTTCAGATCACTACATTTGTATCTTTGGGGTAAATACCCAGTAGTGCAATTGCTGGGTCATAGGGCAGCTCTATTTTCAACTTTTTGAGGAATCTCCATACTGTTTTCCAGAGTGGCTGCACCAGCTTGCATTCCCACCAACAGTGTAAGAGGGTTCCCCTTTCTCCACATCCTCGCCAACATCTGTCGTTTCCTGACTTGTTAATTTTAGCCATTCTGACTGGTGTGAGGTGGTATCACATTATGGTTTTGATTTGTATTTCCCTGAGGCTGAGTGATATTGAGCACTTTTTCATGTGTCTGTTGGCCACTTGGATGTCTTCTTTGCAGAAATGTCTGTTCATGTCTTCTGCCCATTTCTTGATTGGATTATTTGTTCTTTGGGTGTTGAGTTTGATAAGTTCTTTATAGATTTTGGATACTAGCCCTTTATCTGATATGTCATTTGCATCTACAACTATTTCTTAAGGAGAAGTAATCCCATTCTTCTTAGCACAGTATTCTCCTTATTTCAAGGTAAAATAAAGCTGAGTTAAGAATGCTTAGATGGTCTATTGGTCTTTGGTTCTCTTGCCCCTAGGAGAAGGCAACCTTTCAAACAGCTCTCTGAATCAGATGTTCTGGTACTCTCCTAAGAAAAGGAGACTGGCAATGGCAAATAAGTATACTGTGCTGAGACCAAGTTTCCCAGGTTCTGTTAAGTCATGTTAAAGGGGTAGAGAGAGACAGGGTGAGATGGCACGGACTCAGGCCCAGGACCCCAAACACTTCATTGTCTCATACCTCTCCACCTCACCTCACTATCACCACACCAAGGAGGAGACATGCCCAAGGCAAGTGTATACACTCCTTGACCTCAAGCCTTTGCTTCAATCACAGGAGTATAAATGATGTTGGTGGCAGTGGAATAGGGAGGACAGAGTAGGCGTAAAAGAGAGCTCAAGGGAAGACCTGTAGGACTTAATATGGAGATGGATTTAATATGGGAGGTTAGGGAAAGGGACACACCCAGGAAGACTGACTTTTTGATCCTGGGTGATCAGGAGAATGATGGTGCCATCAGGGATGTCAGGAGGAGAAGTCAGTTTGGCAGGCAGTATGACAAGTTCAAACTGGGTCTGAATTCTACCCCTCACCAGATGTAGAAAAATCGCTTGTACTCTTGGGAGCTCACTTTTTTCTCACATGTAAATGCAGTAACAAAAGCAAAATTCTATTAAGATCAGA